AGTGGTTATTCTCTCCCAATTTCTGCTCTCCAGTTCCTCTCCAAATTGTGGAGCCAAGTCTGGTATCCAACCCGCCTTCCGCTCCATCAAGAGCCTTCTATCTTGGACAATGAGGAAGTGTTGCTCATGTCTACGAGAAAGGAACTTGCTGGAATAGGGATGCCCTGGTTCCTTCCTCTTATTTCCCACAATCTTGATTCTTTTGCCCGATGAGGAGGTCATCCCTACATCAAATATAATTCACAAAACCACAAGAATTATTGTTAAGCATTAGTGAACCACAAACAACTTCCTCACACTCTTCCTATCATCGCTGAGGGCAAAATAATACCCCTCAGTGTCACATGTGTAAAGAAACAGCAAGAAAGCACAAAAATCAAAATTCTGCAGAAATTGCGATCAACGGTAATTGGCGTTGAGCGGCGATCAGTATTTTTCTGCATAATGGCCCTAGCTGGCCTCTAATCTCCACCCACATGCATTTTTCCCAGTTCCAAACCTTAAGCAAGCAATTTAATCAATCCAATTTCGTCAATCATGCAAAATTATCAAAATCCCTCATGAATCATGCTTAGACAACCATATTCATTCAAAATCATGCTTTCAAAACCCTAGAATGTAAAATGCCATTTACTTACTTGGGTGGAGATGCTTAATGAGTGAAGAATGCTCTGTGAATGTGAGGAAATCCACCTCTAACTAGGATGGAAGCTTGAAGTAAAAATGGGTGGAGAAAGGGCTTTTGTGAAAAGGGATGAAAGGAAAACTGGAGAGAATCCTTTGGAGAGTGCTTGAGAGTGCTTGGGAAGAATGGAGGCTAAAAGTGGCGGCCTAGACACGCCCTAGGGTTAGAGAAATATCTAATGGGCCAACCCCCGTTGAGCCCAACTTTTTAAAAACCCAAACAGCAAATCTACAGTCTTCACGCTCAGCGGTAGCTACTAATGCAGTCGAATATCACAATTCAGTTAAAGCAGTTAGCAGAAATCAATGCAGTTAATCGAATGTACAATTAATGCAGTCAAATCACAATAAATGCTTGGTCAACATATTTAAAAATATAGTCGTTGTAACATTTCATTCAAGCATTAACAAAATTTCAAAACTGTAACAGACTTAGTCGAATGCAGGTTGCATGTAATCGACTATACAACACAGTTAAACAAAGTTTTAAAAAACTTTCTCTTCAAAAATTCTCACAGCACACTTTGAAAAAGTTTGTGCAAAGCCACGAGTTTTAATCGACTTACTTCATAATGAAGTCGACTTAAAACTGTTGTTTTTTCACATATTACAAGTTCAACAAAAGTGCATGTGGTTTTCCTTTTCTCAAATATATGTCACGCATTCACAGATAAGATCTCATGTAAAACACAATGAATTGCAGCAATGACAGAATCAACATAAACATGTTCTCAAATAATCATAAACATGAAAGAAATGAACATGTAACATATAAACACATGTGTTATTAATTATGTGTTGTCATCATAAAAAACCAGAAGCTCTAAGATTATAGGTTTAGCTAAACCAGTGCTCTCGCTATCAACAATTTCAACACTAACATTCGTTCCTACTCATATTCTAAGAACTTACCTGCCTTATGCACGTACCACTTTACCTACACACTTCCTAACCCAAGCCAACCTTACCCAACCACCATTTTTTCGTTCCTTCCTTGCTTCATGATTCGCCCATTCTCTCCTTCGTCCCATCATCATATTATTCCATTGTTTTAATATGATCTGATGTGGATCAATCCTATTTGTTAGGCTGTGATGTACTTTCTCAACTTTCCTTTTGATGTTTATCAAATAAGGGGGAGAATAGAGAAAGAGTAGATGTGTCAGCATCTAGGACCATGTACTCAGGGAGAATACACCAGAAGTTAGGATAACATAGAATCAAGGGGAGTTTCTCCAAATTCTTAGAGTTCATCTTAGGGGTCCATGTTGTTCATGTTTACATTCATGTAATATGTTTTATGTTTTAATCAAATTTGTTGGTTGTTGTTTATTTGTTTTCCTGTTTAATTACTTATTTTATCTATTGTTTAATTTATATTTTTTATTATCATCTTTACCTTATACGCAATATTGTTTTTTGACTATGTCCACTAACAACATGCAAAAGATAAAAACAATAAAAATGTAAAACACACAATGAACCAAAACACACAAGACTTAAAACTAAATTCTGAGCTAAGGAAGATTATATCATTTAAATGTGTATTTCTTAAACATAAAAAAGGGGGAGATTGTTAAGACAAAATCATGTATGCACATAAACGCTCTCATGTTTTGAAGTAATCAAATAAAATTAAAACGGGATAATAATCAAAAAATAACTTAGGGTGAAAACACAAGACATAGAGCCTAAACTCCAAACCCACAAAACCTAGAACTAGAATCCCCAACATAAAAAACTTAGGAAAACACTTAGGTTCTTACGAAATAGAAAAACATTTAGGTCAAAAATGTTGGAACAACCAGTACCGATTTTGCACAGTGGAAATATCAAAATAGAGTACGATACGGATTGTTTAAAAGCGAAGAGCTTGTTCGGTCAATTTTAAAAATGGTTCCTTTAATTTTCTCTTAAACTTTTTATCAAACAGTTGATGTGCAAAAAAATGTAAAGAGTGTAGGGAGTAGAAAAAATCACACAAATGATTTTTATCTTGGTTCGAATCAAAAGATTCTACGTCCAGTCGTTAATCACTATGAATAGTGATTAACTTTTTTCACTAAAAACAGTTTTACATATTACAATATAGTGAATGAAATAAGAATGATAAAACCTTTCTTCGACGAACGAACCGGAAGAACTTCCTTCAACAAACGAACCGGAAGAACTTCCTTCAACAAACGAACCGGAAGCAACAACTTTGCCAACTTGAAGAGTAGGAACTTCTCCTATTCACAAGACTTGACAAGAGTAGGAACTTGCACTTGAGAACTTCCTCAGATTTCACTGTATTCTCAAATTCGCAAAAGTTATCTCTGGAAGGTTTTGGCAAGGAGATTTATACCCTACTGGTCTGAAAATGAAAAGACGCATTACAACTGCCAATGATAATCAATTATTGTAAGTGATAATCGATTATATGCGAGACTTGGAACAGTTAGGATTTTTAATTCTTCAACCGATCGGTTCCAGTTTTTCACCTCCTTCCACCGTTTGGCTCGAGCTCTTACTGCTTTCTGTCGTTCGGTCTTCAACTATTTTTGGCCTGAGCCCTTATCACCTTTTGTCGTTCAGCTTGGTTACTTATATCTTTCCAAAGTTCGGTGCTAACTGCTCGGTCTTAGTCATTCCTTGCTACCGCTCGGTCCGAACTACTTGGTCTTAGTCAAGTCTTAAACCATTCGGTCATGCCTTGTTTGATCATTGTCATCACATGTTCAGCCTGTTGTTGGAAGTTGTTCGGTCATCAACTGTTCGGCCTGTATCTGTTAGTGACCGTTCAGTCTTTGACTGATAATGACCATTCGGTCTTAATTGTAAATTGATTGGATATGTCAAATATAATAATGATTTTTTTTAACAAAAAAAGTTTTTATGATAGGTGAATAATGTATGTAATAAAAGCTTATTTCTGAAAAGCATATATTATGATAGGTGAACAATTACTTGTCATAATATATTCTACATATTATGATAGGTGGAAAAATCTACATCATAAAAAGCTACGTAGTATGATAGGTAAATCCAGCTGCATCATAATAAATTCGCTATATTATGACTGGTAAGTGAAAATATGTCATAATACACTGGACCTATTATGATAGGTGACAGAAAGTACGTCATAATACGCTGGACCTATTATGATGGAGTTTTCTGTACGTCATAAAATGAGCAGACCTATAATGATACTAGGTTACCTATCATAGTAGGTCATTTTTACCTATCATAAAAAATCATTTTTCCACTAGTGGTAATTCAAATTACAGGTCTTTGTAATTGATTACAATAACTAGAGGCAAAATATGGTAAAGCACATGAAAGTAATCGATTAAAGGAGATGGTAATCCATTACCAGAGAGATTTGACCATAGAAAACTTGTGATGCTTGCTTTATACTCATCATAAATTGGATAGAATATATAAAGTAGAAAAGAAGATACAATATAAGAAAGAAGTGTAATTTATTAATATTAAAAAATGATAAATACAAAGATGTAAAAATTATTGACGATATGGACATGGCCCTTATGATAACCTTCATTGGGGGCAGCAAGAACATTTTTTGGGGGCTTGATGTACTAAATATGACTAAGTTACTCTCGAACACAACAAAACTATCCTTATTGAGTACATGTTGGTATACTAAACCAGCTTGTGTCCAATCCCTATGTGTCCAATCCCTACTTCTTTGATCAGGATGACATTGCACTAACTGTATTATTCACAATTAGCTACGATAATTTAAAATTAACAAATAATTGAACCAGATGATCTAGGTTAGGATCCATAAAAAATAATATAAATAACACATTTTATAAGATATATTAATTACGTTCATTAATGATCTCAACTAAAGCAATGACCTATTAAGATAAGTGTTAAGAAATCTTATGCAAAAATAACCTCTACTCAACTTAAGAAGATAAGTATCCTAGAAAAAAACGAGTTCAAACTTGGAAACGTAAAGTATTCAAAATACTTTGAAAATCTCCACAACATATATCTGCCGTATAACAACAATTAACAATCAATTCATATAATAAAATTCTTCTTATTTATTCTATTTAAAATTTACTTTTTCATCATCACATATTATAAAATCAAATTCTTATTATAAAAAAAAATTCTTAAAAGACTTGTTTTCTAAAAGAATATTAATAAAATATGAAAATTACTGTAATTTAGGAAAAGTGTGTTTTTAATGTCCCAAATGTTGAAAAACGAATTCGGAAAAGAAATACAACCCTTAAAAAAAATAACTGTATAAAGCCCACTATTCGAGTTCAAATGTGTCCCAATAGAAACAGAAAGACGGTTCCTCTTTCCCTTGTCACGCGTAACATACCACTCCAAAATCAAAACCACCTCTCCCTGACTCTCTGCATTTTAGTACAGAGATGGCAGACGAAAACGGAGTGCCGATTTGGATGCGCAACCGGTCCAATCCCTTGGCAACTACAACCGTGGTGGACTACAACATCCGCAACAATACCTACAACCTATACGACGTCACTTTCGAAGCCCACAACATCCACACCCTTGTCACCCATCACCCCTCCCAAGTCGATAGGTGGCTCTCCAACAACGCCGGCCGTCGCCAGGGCCTCATGGTGGGCCTGGACGTTGAGTGGCGGCCCAACACTCAACCCAACACGCAAAACCCCGTAGCCACTCTCCAACTCTGCGTGGGTCACGCCTGCCTCGTCTTCCAGATTATTCACTCTCCTTTCTTTTCTCACTCTCTCGATTCCTTCCTCCAAGATCCTAACGTTACTTTCTTCGGCGTTGGGATACGCGCTGATGCCGAGAAGCTTCTTCGAGATTATGGCCTCTACGTCGCGAACGTGTATGACCTTCGTTCTCTGGCTGAGGCTAAGCTTCGGGGTTACCCTCATCTGAGGCAGGCTGGGCTGAAGACACTGTGCCTCCATGTTCTCGGAGTGGACGTTGAGAAGCCGCAGAGTATCACCAGGAGTTTCTGGGATAATACCCGGCTTACCGCGGAACAGGTTCAGTATGCTTCCATTGATGCCTTCCTCTCCTATGAGATTGGACGCCGGTTGATTGAACGCGATATTTGGTAGTTCTCTTCCCCTATAGTTTCTCGCTGCTGTCTTTGCTAGGTGAGTAGTAGCTTATGCTGTTTCTATCATTTCTTGCTAGCTAATTAGCCTCTGCAGTTTCTGTCATTTCTCTCTGCAGTTTCTGTCATTTCTCTCTCTTGTTTCTGCCATTTCTCATTGTTACTTTTGCGTGTTATGTTTGCATTCCGAAAGTCTGTTTCTATGTTTCTGAATTGAGGACCTTCAATTACCGATGTCTGTGATTCTGCTGTTTGCTATGATTCCACGGATTTATTACGCTTTTATCAGTTTACTGTTGTTGATTTGCATGCTAATATTGCTTTTATTACCTACGATTTCAGTGTGATTCATGTTCACCCTGGGTTTAATTGTGTTCATGGAAAACTTTTGCAGATATTATTATTTTTTCTAATGGATCATTCGTTTTCTAACAAAAATAACTATAAATTAATAGAATTATAGTTTTTTGTAACGGTCTAAACGAATCAAAATCATTACAATGAATTTAATCACAACGCAATTTCTGTTATGGGTGTTATGGAATTCAAAGTAAAGATGTTTCGTATTTGAGAGTTAATATTTGACTTGAAAGCAATTATATTTGTTTTAATGTTTGTTTGCCCTTTTAAATTTTCACATTGCATTATTCCTTTTAGAGAAATTAAAATATTTTATGATAAATTACGTTATTTAGATTAAAAAATTGAAAATTTGTAATTTTATTAAAGTAATTGGATGGATTAAAATTGAAAAAAAATCTATATTTTACGTAAAATTCTTACTAACAACGCAACCATAATCCTATATAATTGTTAAAGAATTCAAAGTAAAGATGTTTTGTTTGGTATAATCCAGATTTAATATTTGATTTGAGAAGCAATTATAATCATTTTATTCAACATAAAATTTAAATTGAGTCATGAATTGGATTATGATATTTTGGGAAAAGGTGAGTATCAAATAATAGTTTTCTTTATGAATTATTGCTATTTTCTTTCCTTTGTATACCGAATACTAATATAAAACATTACTTTTATGAGAAGTATATGTTACAATTAAATTATGGAGATGAAACATTTTTCTTTACGAAACAACAGTTTTTTACCCAGCTGCGTGCTGCTTTAAATTTTATTGCACCGACATTCCTTTGTTAACTTACTTAGATACTTAGTGATAAAACGTTTTTTCACATTTACCGACCAATAAAATATACTTATAATCGTAATTCTTCATTTTTGTTATCAACTAATAAAGTTAGTGGCTGATTTTAACTTCTAATTACTTTTAACTGCAACTATTCCATTTAGTTCAACTAAGTTTATGAGAAATATATCACATATTTTATATCTATTACAATTTAATCTTTATTGTAGTATCTTAATTTAAAATAATGTTCTGCTATAACAAGTGAAAAGATGATTATTTGTTATTTTGTATTGTATGTCACTTTTTTTAATTATATAGATACAATAGAAAGAGAATAATTGAGTAGTATATTATACTGTTATACATTTTAATATGTATTTCTATACGCATTTTGTTGATAAATGTAACAATAACTTTCGTTGTCCCCAACGTGTTCGAGCTTCCTTACAATTTATAACAAGGTAATTTTTTTAATGTATTTATTAAATGTTAAAATCAATTTAGTAAATTAACATATTTAAAGTAGACAACATAATTTACCTTTGAAAGATTTTGCTCAGTTATTTCTAGAATATATCATCCATGTTTATTGAGTTTTAAAATATTACATACAAATAATTTAATGTGATGTATTTATGACATTTAAAATATATGATCTAATATATAAAAATTAGATGATTAATAATTAGAACATAGGAAATGTAAATATTTTGTTGTTTAGCGTTTTGTAGTGTAGCAATTTGTTATTTGATATTGAACTTTCTTACATTTTAGCATTGAGAAAACAATCAATTAGAATATATGCATTATTACAGGTAAATTTGAATAATTATTAAGGTTTAATAGTCAAATTTATTCCTAGTTTCGTTGAAAAATCTCAATTTAATCTCGTTTTAAAAGTGTTTGAAATCTATTTCACTTTTAAAATTTTGAGTCAAATTAGTCCCTTTCGTTAAATAGAAACAAACGTCGTTAAGGGTTTGATGATTTGGCAGAAGACATGTTATTTTATAGATATATTTATGCTGACGTGTTAGTGAATGAGTGCAGAAATGAAATTTAGAGGTGCACTTGATATTTTTTAGGCGAGACCCAAGCCCTCTAGGGTTTCTTTTTTTTTTTTTCAGAAACGAAAGTCTCTTCTCCACCTTCATTAGCGGCAACTCTGCCCTCCGCATGACCAAAGCCGTCGTGCCTTCCTCTGGACAACCAAAACTGTCGTCGGCGGCATCGATCGTTGCCAGAGACACCGCCAACCACTACAGCATTCCTCCCTCCGTGCGCCCTTGATGACGTCGTTGCCATTACCATTGGGTTCCGATTTTGAGTAAACGTCGTCGGCGACAACGCTGCCGTCCTGCGGCGTGTTTCCCTTCTTCGAATCGTAAACACAAATCGCAACTCGTCCTGAGCCCTGATTCCCCTGCTTCACTTCAGCCTTCGATAGCATCACCATCGAAGTGAAAGGCGTAAAGGTAAGGGATTTCGCCGCCTCTGTACCCCCATTTTCTACGCCATTCACCACAGCTTGAACCGGAAGCACGCCATGAACCTCACATCCCTCAAGGTTCCCAACGAAACCACGTGTCCGCTATCTTCCTTCTCCATATCCACTCCCATAAACATTCCTTCTACTGTGGATGTCTCCACCACGTTCTCCTGTATTCCTGTCAGAATCGTTCGCTCCTTCACCACCAACTTCCCCTCCGAAACGCGAACAATAGGTTTTATCGTCATCTCTTCAGCTCCCTCTACGCTCCTCTACAATTAAATCAAACCAATTTTTCATCTGTCCAATGGAACTGAAATGAAATTTTGAATGTAGGGGTTTTATTAATCAATACATTGAATGACACCACTGGAAACACTCTTAAAAAAATGTCTGCAAATTTGAAAACACCGGAGATGGAAACCATTGTCGTTAGCAACATAAAAAAACGACTGGATAAATAAAATGGAACAAAAAAGACAATATTAAGATGATGATGACGGTCTTTACTCTTTCACAGTCAACTTCTAATTCACTAACACGCCAGCACAAATATATTTATAAAATAACATGTTAGCACTGTTTTCTGCCAAATCATCAAACCCTTAACTCTGTTTGTTTATATTTAACGGAATAGACTAATTTGACTCAAAATTTTAAAAGTGAGGATCTATTTTAAACACTTTTAAAACGAAGGACTAAATTGAGATTTGTCAACGAAACTAGGGACAAAATTCGCTATTAAACCAAAATTAACATAATCTAGAAATTTTACATGTATATGTATGTTTGTTACATATTTATCTTTTTAAATAATAATTTTTTTATATTTGAAAATTTAGTTTTATTTGTTTTCACAATGGAATGCTATTCAATAAAATCAAATTGTAGACGAAAAATTTACAATGAAAGAGTTTATTTATACAGATAAACAATGTTATTATCAACATTATAGATTGCACATATTTTTCATCTTATAATTGTAAAATTTAATTTTCTCCCTATACCTTGTAGGATTACAATATCAATTTGACCAATAATTTTCTTCGTGTACCTTATTGGATATTGTACATAACAATATAAATGTAAGTAGATTTGAGAGGATTTGAAGTTAAATTTTTTGTTGTTTATTTGAGTAGATTTGGATGTAAGTGAGAATGGATTTGGAAGTAAAGTTTGTGATAATTAGTGTAGGATTTGATTAAAGTGACAGATTAAAAAAATTTTCTTCCAAATCCACTCTTATTTTCCTCAAAATTCACTCAAATAAAGAACAAAAATGTTTACCTTCAAATCCCCTCAATCACTCTTCTCCAAATATATTCAAGTGAACAAAGTCTTAACGAGAAAGAGATTGAGAAATTACATGATGATTTCATCCTTGGTGAAAATATATATTATTCAAACTAAAAGAAAAATATTGATACAAATTTCAGAATTTTATTAATAGAAAAGGATCATATTAAAATCACTTATATAAAATTTCTTAAAGGATAATATTCTAAGCATTTTTGTTCATCAAATGAAATTTAAATATGGACTCATGGAGAGAAACAAAAAAAAATTGACTATAGATTTAAATAGAATCTTTTATTTTTGTTGCAAATTATTTAATGTTGTTTATTGTACAAATAAACTAAAGGTAGTAAGATGAGAGAAATCTTATTCTTGAGTTGAAGAATATTAAATAATGAATAAACATATTTAAAACATGAATGCATACATTAATTTAAAAATGACATTATAAAGAAAAAAATAGACAAATATGTTCTAGAACAAATAAATAGAGATAGAGTGTACTAGAGAAAGGTGTTGTTAAAAATGATAGTAATTTTTAAAACTTTTGACAAAAATAATTTACCTTATCGTGAAAAGAATAAGAGATCATCTAGAAACTAATGGAATCAAAACAAAAATTAAAAAAAAATAAGAATGCAATTTTTTTTAATTATAATTAACTGTGCTCCAAATATAAATTATTAAAAATACTTTTTTTTTATTTCTGTGTAAATATTTCATCAAATGCAAATTAATGAAAACTTTTCTTAATTTTTTTAAAATAGATTATACAAGTGAAAAATATCTTTTTTTAAGTTATTATGGATGAGTTATAAAATGTTGGACTTAAAATTAACGACCTTAATAAACAGATATATGATAATAAACAAAGTATATGAAATATATATATATATATATA